ATGATGTTCCATTTTCTTCTGCATCAGATCCTCTGATGATGTTCCATTTTCTTCTTATCAGAGCGGCTGACTTCCAGAGTTCTTGCGCTTAGTGCTAGCGTGATTATTTTAACAAATTGTTCAACCAAAGGAGCACTTTAGATCAGAGTAGATCTTCGCTCTTACGTGTTATCCAAATGTATCACTTTGTTGCTGACGTTTCAGAGCCTTACGTGTTATGATTTCTCAGAGCCTCTGCAGTTGCAGCATTGAGTTTAGTACGCTCAGAGTTTTCTGAATCTTTGCTTTATACTCTACGCTCAGAGCCTTCTGTAGCTTCGCTTCTTACCAAACGCTTAGAGTCTTCCGTAGCTTTGCTTCTTACCAAACGCTCAGAGTCTTCTGTAGCTTAACGTTCAGAGGAATATTCCGTTCAGAGGAATATTTATTCTGTTTTCTGAAATAAAAACACTTGAACAAAATTAGAGTATATATTTTCTCCATACAAAATTTTATTATTGTTATCATCAAAACATTGAGATATATTAAGAACCAATATGTGTTCTAACATGATGTTGATATCGGTCTTCAAAAATCTCTCTTGTATCACTTCCCATTAGGTCAAAATAGAGATATTTGATTTACCGTCATCCATGCATCCACCATCATCAAACCTAAGTCTCTTCTAATGAGTGCAAACCTTGTCCAACTTATTGGTTCACTAAGTTTCATTTTTTTAGCAATGACACAAGCACATGGGAGACCATATGTTTTCATAATTGTGCATCCACACTTTATGGTATCGAAGCCTACATTATCAGGTCGTTTAGCCTCGTGAAAAATATAGTTCAAACTCACTCGAGAAATGTTACCAACCAACTGAGAATATGGAGTGTTGTCTTTAAATATGTGTTACAAAACTGTGATGCTCCGACGAAATGTTGTTTGTATCTCATTATGTTGGTTTTGAATTATTTGGTTCATAGAGTCTCAGTCTCTACACAAACCCCCTTACTATTTCTAAACCAATTTTTCAAAGTAGCATGGGCAAACTCAACTCTGTTAGTTGTTGTATTTCTAAGATGTCTAACATTATCAGTCCACATACAAACTATCTTCTCCTTCACCTGGTCAAGAATTGTACTTTCAACATATTTTAACAAATCTGGATACTTTTCACACACTTTTCTGAAATGAATAACGAAATTAGCATATAGTTCTTTTTTGGGAGAATTTATTATACGATTCCATGCATCCATTACTTTTTCCACAACCACACCCTTTCACCATTTTTCCATCTTCAGACTCTATTTATTTTGTCCCTACCACAAGTTTAACCCGGCTTTTCATATTCTTTGTTATGTGATATCTACAAAATAATGCATAAGAAGAAGGAGATACCTTTGCAACCAAATTCATCAATGAAGTATCGTGGTCGATAACAATCACTTTAGGCATCTCACCTTGGACCTTCAACAGTGACCGACACACCTATAATGCCCAAGTAAAATTATCCTCTTTTCACACTCAAGAAATGCAAAACCAACAGAATATGTCTTCTCAGTTGAGGTAACACCAACAATCTCAAATAATGAAAGTCTATACTTGTTGATCTTATAGGTTGAATCAAGTATGAGCACCGTAGCAAATGTGTTGAACAACTTTCTGGAATCAGGATGAGTTCAAAAAATATCTCTAACAGTAACTCGATCAGCGTATGTTCGATACCTAGACACGTAATTGTTATCATCCAACAGTTTCAAGAGTTGTTGCATCTCCATTCTATCCCCCCTAAGCGTCTTGTTAGTGAGGTCCGAATATTATACACTTGCTTGATATTTGATATTTTATCGAGTCGTTTCTGTTTCAATGTTGCAAGTATATTTTTCTGTTGAACAAGATTCAAGATCATGTCAGCAACACATTCTTTCTCTTTCGGCTTGAGCCGACAGACAGTAGGATAACCGACTAATTTTAAATACAAACCATGGTTATACAAACTACATATCACATTAAATCTCCAAATTGTGTTTGTCAACATGTAACCACGAACCTTAAACGGACGCTCACATTTTCTTGTATCGGTGTCGTCTCTTTTAATATTTCAGAGAGGAGTTTGGTATTTCCTATTTCTTTCGCACGTCATTGTCACAAAGGCGCATCTTCTATCCAAACTATTATCGGACCTTTCGATAACCACGCCAAATCCAAGTTTAGAGGCGTCCATATGAATCCATTGAAGAATTTGATCACGAGATTCAAACTCTTGCTTGTTTTTAAAGTCGTTGCCAACATCTACCACCTTCACAACAACACCTTGAACATTCGGAGAAACAACCACACCTTGTACATTCGGAAAAACAACTTGTTTTGAGAAAACATTGAGGTGCACCATATCTAATGAAAACAATTAAAACAATAACAGAACTTAAGCGCTACTACTACTGCAGAATGACTTCAAAAATAAACACATACAACTTTCGAAAATGCATTTCCGCTAGGGCTGGCAATGAACCGAACCAACTCGAAAATAGTTCGAAATTCGATTCGACAATTAGATCGTTGAACTAGGTTCATGAACCTAATGAGTTGAGTATGAGCGAAAAATTAAGTTCGTTAACTAAATGAGCTGAACTTGAACTCTACATAGTTCGACTCGTTAGGTTCATGAGTTAACTCGATTACATATGAGAATAATTATACTGTCTTTAAGATTAGGTTTAAATATTTAATCTAAATCTTAGACAAATTTAATCTTCAACTTAGTAGTTTTTGAATTAGACTCTCAAATGTATCTCTTGAAAGTTGTGTAAGTTTTGAATTAGTAGATTTCGAAGATAAAGTTAAATTTCAATATGATAATTTTTATTTTATTTTAATATTTTATTTTAAAAAAAATATATTTATTTAAAATGTCAAATATACTAAAATATATATATATTAAAAAAAATAGTTTTTAAGCCCGTGAATCATGTGAGTTGATCCTAATGAGTTGAACCAAACTGTTCGTGAACTTATAACAAGTCGAGTTTGAACTTAAAAAAAAGTTCGTGTTGAACTCGAACTCGAACTCGAACTCGAAACAATTCATAACGAGTCGAGTTTGAGCTTAAAAAAAAGTTCGTGTTGAACTCGAACTCGAACTCGAACTCGAAAAATTCTTAATGAGTCGAGCCGAGCTGAGGTGAGTTCGACTCGACTCGACTCATTTCCAGCCCTAATTTCCGCACAAGTTCATATATGCTCTCCGGAGATATATTTTCGGACACAACGTAACTTTTTTCAAGAAAAAAGGAAGATTAATGTTAGCAATGCAGAGGGAAAAGAAGAATTTTTACATGAAATTCTATCTTCTTTTGCTCCATATGATGTGATGAACCAAAATAATGGAGATTTGAAGTGAAAAAATGGATTGAGAATGAAGGATTTTTAGGGTGAAGGATTTGGTTGAAAACCAAGTATGTCAACAATGGTTGTGTGACCATGCAACTAGTTTCTATATCAGATATTTCCGGAGACGCATTTCCGGAAATATTTGACATGCAAAGGTGACATAAAATTTCAAAATTCCGTCCATAATTTTCCGAGATGCATCTCCGGAATATTTACTGAACTAATAAATAATTAAGGTATTTCTTAAAATATTCCGGAGATGCATCTCCGGAATAAAAATAATCCAACATATGAGGTGTCTCTCAGAATGACCTTATTTGAGTGTGCAGTAGAAGGATCTAGGATGCATAAAAAATTTCTCTTTAAATTTTTACTCCGAGTTGGTGGCCCTCTAAATTTATAATGGTCCATTATCTTAAATGTACTTTGGTCCAATTATGATAACAAAAATTTTGAGCATTTAACTTGTCACTTCCAACTTAAACTTGACACGCCTGTAATTTTATAATTTCAAAACTGACCCTTAAAAATTTTGAAACAAATTTTCGTACGAAATTTCTAATAAACATATCAAAATTTCTTGTACACATTAAATTTCTAATAGTATATTTAAAACTTTCGGTATATTAGAATTTATGAAATTTACAAACTTAAAAATACTATCAAAAATTCAATATGTTCCATTTTATATTGAAAATTTTAACTAAAATGAAATTTTTGGTAGTTCATGTTCAATTTTAAAAAAAAAAAATGTAACACTACTGTATTTTAAATTTTGAAATTTTTAATAGTGTAAGAAAAATTTTAAAATTAAAATTTTTTTTTTAAAATTCCTTCATTTTTTTTCAAAAATTTCAAATAAAAAAATTGCAAATTCAAAAGTTTTCAATTAAAACAGGTAAACTTCAAAAAAAGAAAAACTGATTTTCTTAAAAGAGTACAGTAATAAAAGTGCTCAAAATGAGAAGACAAGTGCGCAAGTGAAATGCTCAAAAATCTTTTTATTATTAAAATTTTTAACATTGTATTAATTTTAATTTCTTTTTATTTATACTCTTTATTTTATTGTAGTGGTGCCAATAGATGGAAATCTGATCTATCCATCTACTTTCTTTCCTCTTCTTTCTTTCTTTTATCTTTCCACAAAACCAAACACAATGATAGGAATCCTTTCAACTTCCAACTTCATAGTAATCCCACAAAAGAAAGCTCAACATGTCATCTTTTCGTTTACTAAACTGTCTTCTCAAGCTTTTGCTTCAGGATTTATTAGTAACTTTATAGTTGTAATGCCACAATAAAATTTAAGGGTCAGTCTATTTCTTCAAAGGTAATAATAATACAAATAAGAAAATAACAAATCCAAAAAAGCTCAAACTTCAGTTATGCTACACTAATACAAAAGGAACTTTCAACTCCAAATAAATGTCTATCAAGTTTGAAAGAAAATGCTCATCCCTATAAAAAGGATTATTATCATTGACAGAGAACTTTTCCCTTTTCTTTTTCACTTATCCATTGATAATATAATTCACAACTTCTAAGACCAGAGTTAGAATATATTGAGCAACATATTCAAATTTGGGTTGTTATTCGATAAACTCTTAAAGAAACTCCATGCTTCATCTTCACTTATTATATTTCATTGTCTCTTTCTCAAAACCGATTGTGGGAAACTGCTTAGCATAATCTTCTACTTCACGTCGAAGATTAGCAAGTTGAGATTGAATTTGTGCATCTGACTGCATAGCTTCCACAAAATCCTTCAACTTTGTGCCTGGATTTAAATTAATCAGTAACAGGAGTGAGTCAGCACAAGTGAAGCAATTATGCAAATGTTAAGGCATAAAAAACTAGGAATCAGAAAGGTAGAATCAACCTTTAGAATTTTCCTTGATCTGTAAGGCTATTTTGACTGCTGCATCAAAGTATTCAGCTACTTTTTTAAAATCACCCTCAAGAAAACCCCTGGATGTGAGAGCAGGAGTTCCTGAATCTCGAAAAACATAACCTCAATCAACATGCAATTATAGATTCACCAATATGCATATAAAAAGTTACTAACAGAGACATTACCCATTCTGATGCCTCCTGGAACCATAGCAGACACATCCCCTGGAACAGTATTTTTATTGGCAGCTATATGAACTGATTCTAACACTTTCTCAACCCTCGAGCCATCAATGCCCTGTCAAATAGAACAGAATAAGACTGTGTGTTCCCTTTGATGTTTTGCAAAATATATTACACAACAAATAGAGTTCAATAACAAATATTAGCATCTTTACAATCTATAGTCAATCTAAATAATAGACATCCAATAAAATAACTCCGCCATTTAACAAACCTGTTGTTGTTTTATTTGAAGGCCTGAGATATATCTAGTAGTTTGACTGGTAGAATAGAGTTTCTATTTGCTGTCTAAACCGAAAATCTTATCATTCAGGATTTCAGCTGTTGTACTATCCTAATAAAAATGTCCCATATGATAATTATAAGAAAAACAACCTAGTCTGCAACCATATGTCACACTGTTGCCTGTTCCTTCCTAAACTATTAAAGGGGGATTTATACAGTACTCGATGTAATAGCTGATTTTACATTCTCAGCACTCAATGTAACTGCAAGCTCGCATATTTATTCATATGTTTAACCGATATGTATGAACAAAACGGAACTATTCAGAGTCATTTCTGCCAAACATATTACCAAAAAAAAATTCAGACGAAAGAATTGCAACATTTACCTTGTCTCTTAAGTTCACTAACACCAAATGGTTCTCAGTTCCGCCAGATACAAGGTCATAGCCTCTCTCTAACAAACTCTGGAGTTTAATTAACATCACAGAGTCAGAAGTAACATTAAAATTTGTCAGGCTAAACAATAAGTAGAAGAGACATTTAAGAACTAGTTTTCAATTGTTCTATAGAGGAGTGTTGTTCATCATACATAACACATTCAATTTACCTGAGCAAAAGTCGAGGAGTTACTAAGAACTTGTTTCTGATAACTCTTGAACTCTGGTGTCATAGCCTACATGAACAAAAATGAAGAAAGAACTGATTGTATCAGCCAGGCAACAAAAACGCAAATAAATGTAGTTTCTTCGACTGGTCTGATAAAGCACCTGCTTCAATGCAACTGCTAGGCCTGTAATAGTGTGATTATGAGGACCACCTTGAAGTCCAGGAAAAACAGCCTGATTTATTTTGTCTTCATAATCATAGAGCACCTGAAAGGATGAAATGCAGCCAGTGAAATTTTTGAAGTTAATTTACAGGAAAATCTATAAAAGTTGTTAACACTATGATTAGGAGAAGGATCAATTTCATGTGCCCACAAGAAACTAAGAGGGAGGGTGATAAGGCAAAAGAATAACAATTTGGATTTTAAACTTTGGTACACTAGGAAATTAGATCGAGAAATGGGGTTGGGATTGTTCTTGATAAGGAGGGGAGGATGGATATTTTGGATGTAAAAGTGATAGGAGATCGGATCATATCGTTAAAAGTTGTAGTGCAACAAGACGCTTTTGATGTTATTAGTCCTTGCGCATCTCAGACAGGAGTAGAATAACGCCTTAAAAGTAAAATATTCATCCTAGATTTTTCATCAGCTTTTGATTTTACTATAGCTTATATGTGCTTTAGAAAAAGAAAGGAACATCTTGTCAAATACAAGTGCGGGATGACATGTTCTCAAGTAGATTTCTTTGTTATTAGGATATCAGACAAAAAGATTAATTTGGACAATAAAGTCATCCCAGAGAGAGCTTAACTATCCAATATAGAGTATTGGTTATGCATACAAGAGTTAAGAGGAGTATTGATAGATCTATTATTGTTAGATAAGAGGTTGTTACTTGTTAGATAAGTAGTTGGTTAGTTAGTTAATTAGTTAATGGTTAGTTAGTAGTTTTGTTGAGAGTTAGTTAGGTAAATAAGGCATGTTGCCTATAAATAGATAGGTGGATTAGAAAGAGGATCATCTGTTGTAATTTGAGACTAGGCCTTTTGGCAATGGGAGGTAGGCAGACCCTCGAAGTGTTGGCATTGTTTATTGATATTTAATAGTTTTTTTACAATTTTCTTGGTTTTCTTCTTTATCTATTTTTAGGGATAAAATACACTTAACTTCTTTAAGTATGGCCCTTTCTTGCTCCTATGGGTTGATTTTCAGTTAGTGTTACATTTTGAGTTAAATCCAAGGAAAATAAGGCACATTCAGGCAGATAAGCACGTGTTATCTTACCATTATAAAACTGAACTTTTCTTTTATCACCAAAACCCTCTGAAGTAAGTGTTAACCACGCCTACAGTTTGCTTATTTATCTATTTATCCCTTGAATCCCACTTGAAGTTTGGATTTAACTAATTGGAGGCTAACTATCATTTAAGTGAAAATTTAGTATTAGCTTCAAAAAAAATTATACGGGCATTAAGAAATATCAGAAACAACTTCAGGGAAGTTAAGACAGATCTATACTCGTTCTTAATTTTTTGGTGGGGGTGTTTTGCTTAGAATTTTAATAACATTAAATTTAGCATTTAAATCTTACTTCCTGCCCTTTCTTGTTTATCTCTTTCACACCCTTCCTGAAGAATATCATAGCCCCACGTGGTCCACGAAGTGACTTATGTGTTGTGGTTGTTACAACATCTGCATAATCAAAAGGAGAAGGAATAACACCTGCAGCAACTAATCCACTGATATGTGCCATATCAGCTAACATAACTGCCTTCTGTTTATCACAGACCTGAAACAGTTCATACGTGAAAGGAACAATATCATTACTCCATTGTTATGAACAAAAAATAACAAAGTTTCTACAATCAAATATAGCTTACCTTGCGAATACGTGCATAATCATAAAGGCGGGCATAAGCACTAGCACCGGCAACTATTAATTTTGGCCTAAAAAGTGCAGCACTTTTCTCCATCTGCAGGTATATTAGATAAGTCAAGCCATAAAGTACATGTTTAAATCCATGATATGCAAGAAAGAGAAAAACCACTGTCAATAAGCACAAAACCTAATGCCTCACTGTGCTCACAAAAATGTTTTGTTTATTGTTTTTACCATTCGCTAAGAAACTTAATGTGATAATAAAGAATAGATAGCATAATGATGAATGGTGAGGCAATCGGGTACTAAGGTAACAAAATACTTTGAACCTGGGAATGAAATGATTAAATTTATCTGAACAAGCATGTGCTGGCATAAAAATAGATGATGATAAATGACGTGCAGAATCCATTGGATCGTTTTTTATGGTGCTAGGCATTTCCTTCTCCATACTGCATGCCTAAATTATGGGAGCAACTTGATGACTCGTTCAATATACTCTTCTCAAAAATTCACAACTGCTACGATGCTTTATAGGCTAATGATTTAAACACTGATATTTTACCATACAATCTATAACCAAACATTGAATGAGAAAACACTGAGCACTTTGACTAAGATAAAGGTGACAGCAAGTGAAACAAAAACAATACTGGCTACTTAGAATTAGAAGAATTGTCTTTGATTGAAACAGACATGTCCCCAATACAGAAATACAATGGTACCTGCCTACCTGGTCATAATCAATATAACCAGTGCTCTCGTCCAATCTGTACGGCATTGTTTCAAAGAATATAGATACAGCCGATATCTTCTTGGTGTCAGTCTGCATGACAGAGATATAAATAAATTGTGTATACAGAGAAATAGGATATACATTGTTCTAAATTTTTTAATAAACGATTTAACAGCAAAATTGAAAGTGAATATCAAGCAACAGATGTGAATATTGAGCCATTTTGAAATAAAGCATTGGGAAAATTCTGCATTGGCTTAACCTACTACAACTAACACAAGTGTAAATAATTAAAAGAAATAACACTAGTAGATGGCATTGCAAAAGAAAGATTGTGAGTGAGGTAAAATTAGGGGTCTAATATGCAATTTGTATACAGTACACAGTTTTTCAACTTTATGAGATACAAATATTTTATAAATGGGTTGGCTCTATTGAAATGCTTTTAGATTGCATCTGGTCCATTTTTAATTTATGAAAGAGAAGTTTAGAGAGAATTAATTGAATCACAAGTTTATTTGGCTGGAATATAATTTGAAATATTTGAATTTCTTTCTCCCCCATAATTTAAGAAAAGGCTTGTTTTCTTAGCTTCCTAGTAAGATTTTGATCATAACTGCTCATACTTCCTATGCAAGACTTTAACTGACTTCCTTTTGTTTATTTACTAAATTTTTTTTGTTGTCTTAAGATTAGTCCTGTTTTAAATTCTTTCCTTGATAAATTATTTTCTTACCTATATAAGCAAAAAAAAAAAAAAAATGTCGATATACTGGTCACTTAAGTGCCATTTTTGCAGCAACATTTATTCGTCATATCCTAGTGGCTAGCGCATACTTGCTATGGTTGTCAACTCATGGCTGCAGGTGCAATGACCACAAATGGTAATCAGGAGCAGAACTTAACCTGATATCCATGTGAAAGATGCCCACCATGAGGAAGATCGAGGGCCATAATTCTCTCATGAGGTTTCAATAAAGCAGTGTAAACTTGGAAGTTGGAAGGAGATCCAGATAGCGATTGCACGTTGACTGTCAAAAGCAGATTATGTAATAATGTAAGCAAGACTCTCCAAAAAAAACATATGATCAAAACTTGTTCACCTAAATTGCAGAGGATAATAATTGAAGACATAAAGAACTGATGTCATGGAAGAATTACACAAGTTCACCACAATAATAACAAGCTAATTATCCAGCAAAGTAACAAGGATGCTAAAATATTATACATCAAAAGAAGGAAGAGAAAAATATTCCAGTTATATACGCAAAATTAGTACCATGGAGAAAGACTACATTGATATTTACTATGTTCTAGAAAAGTTGTCAGTATGTTACATACGTGAAGCATTTAATCAAAGATATATTGAGATAACCCTCCAATAAATCAAACCTTAACAGGGATTATCACTTGATATATTGCCTCTGCTTTGTAGTTATTATGAAAGTAGCCAACATTGTGAATCAAAAAACAAATTAACAGCTGAACAAATAAAAACTATGATGTTCCTATGTTCTTATTCATAGATGACTATTCTTTGTTAGACTACGGGTATCTTTGGATTGATTGCATAAGATGAAATAGGGTATAATAGAATATTATCGGATAATATCTATTTTCAAAAATCTAACTAGTTCATTTATTTCATTCTACTCCATTCCATCCTATGCCACCAAATCCAAACATACCCTAACAAAATTCAAATTGTACCATAAATGTTATCCCATTTATGTACCTCCCCATAGTGCTGGATCCAACCCAAAAGTTTCCAGCGCACGCTTCTGACACAAGGTCTCGGCCATGTCAATGTACCTTATCAAATTATAAATATATACCCAAAATCAGCACATGAAATCAATCAACAACAAACTTCTGAAATTGGAAAGAAAAAAAAAACAATCATAACCAGATCCAAATTACACGTACTCATTTCCACCATAGTATCTAGCACCAGGATAACCTTCACTGTATTTATTAGTCATAACAGATCCAACTGCTTGCATCACCGACAAGGACGTAAAATTTTCTGAAGGTATAAGTTCTAGTCCCTATAAATTTATAACAGAAAAATCAAATGAGAGCGCTATTCTCAGTCAGGTTCTTCCAAAACAAATTTAAAATTAAAAAATAAAAGTAAAAAATAAAAGCACAGTAGAAATAAATAAACTCCGATCCACCTTCCATTGACGAGCTTTTTCAAGTTCGATTATATTTTCGATCTCAGGATCCACCACCTCAAGAGGATCGTTGAGCTGTTTAATCCACTGCAATTTTTGAAATCGATCAAAACAGATACGATAATTAAACATATTCGAAGTGCATGTATAGATTCATGAAGATTTAACAAAATAACGATGACTATTATGTTTGAAATCGCGACGAGTTTGACGAAACGACGGTGGCGCGGCTGCGTTTCCGGCAAACTCAAAGTGAATTTGAAAATGAAATGAAGGAAGAAGTTTGTTGAATCTTAAAATGGCTTACATCGGGGCTAGATTTGTGATTCTCTTGTGCAGAGAGCGAAGATGACTGCAATCATAGACGGAGCAAGAATGAAAATGCAGATTTAATTGATATGAGATGGTTTAAGAAGATGAAGTTTGTTACATACCATGCGATGGAGAGAAGCGGTGTTGGCGAAAGGTGAAGTTGGTTTGTTGACGGTGGAAGTGAGTCTGCGAAGAGCCATGGCCATTGTTGCAATGGTTTTTAGTTTTCTCTTTCGCTTGTGTTTGGGGATGGTGGTTTCGATTGGGAGGTGGTGTTGGTGGGATATATGAGTTGGGAGTTGGTAGTGGAGTGTGAGTGAGTGAGCGAGCGGGGTTGGTGGTGATTATGATTTGATTTGATATACTGCATTCTTTTTAGGAAAATAATTCACTGCAGTCAATACTTTACGTAGACATCCTACTCGCAGCGGTTTGATCTTATTCGTATGATTATTCACAATAAAATAAGTTTAATTTTTATTTTAAAATAAAATGTATTAGTTTTAAATTTAAACCGTATGATCTTAATCAGAGAACTATAAATATTTGATTGCATGACAGTAAGAACTGAGTGATCGTAGTAAACTGAAATCTTTTTTTATGGGTGGGTATTGGATATTGAAAAGCGTGCGGAACATGATATCAATAGACAATTGTTGTCTACTCTTTTAACTTATTATGCGTTTAAAATCTGGATCTTTTAAATATTCTGGCTAAAAACATTGCACACTACAACATTGGTAGAAGATGTAAACATTTTTTTAATTCATAAATAGGGTTGAAAAAAAATCGATTCGAGTCGAACTCGTTTTAATTCGGTTCGATTCGTTAAGAATAGTTCAGCTAAAAGTTTGGGTCGAGTTTGACATTATTTTTTTTTTAAAATTAAACTCGACTCGTTAAAAGTTCAAGAAGTATTAATTCATCTCATTAGGTTCAGCTCACTTGACTCATGGAGTTAAAAGTTATTTTTTTAAGTATATTTTATTTTTATATATTTGACATTTTAAATTAACATTTTTTAAAAAGAAAAATATTGAAATAAAATAAAAGCTATGAGTATCGAATTTAACTTTGTTTCAAAATTTTACTAATTCAATAGACGTATTGAAAGTCTAATTCAAAATACACTCAATTGAAATTTAAATTTATCTCACAAATTCATAACTTCATCAAATATTTAAGAGACTTGCAAATTTAATGAAATAGTACATACAAAAATTACTAGAAATTGATACATTTTCATCACAGAATAATTGCACCATTTTACACATTATTTTAGCAAATGTCATAATATCTTTAACAAGGATGACTATAAATACAATTGTCGGTTTCATTGTCATAATTAGTACATAAGAGACAATATATGGTTAAATTTTGGAGTAAATCTTTAAATCTACTCTTAAAAATAATATAAGAATTTTCATATGTAATCGAGTTGACACATGAACCTAACGAATTGAGTTGTGTATAGTTCAAGTTCAGCTCATTTAGTTAACGAACATAGTTTTTGCTCATATTCAGCTCATTTGATTCATGAACCTAGTTCAACGATTTAATTGTCTAATCGAGTTCTGAACTATTTTCGAGTTGGTTCGGTTCATAAAGCATTATTATCCATTAAATTTATCCAACTAAAATGAAAGGCAACGTTCTTTAATGTGAGGAGTTCATAAATTAGAGCACCAACTTATTAACGCGTGAAACCCACATTATATCTCACACTTATTGTAAATTTATTAACGTATTTTATTATCGTAGATTCACCAATTCTTAAATAATCATCCACACTATCATTGGATGTTCCATATGCCAATATTGGAATAACATTAGTGTTCTTTTGTAGCGATGAAAGACTTGATCTACCAGTTGCATCAACTCTCATTCGAAAATATTTATCATGTTGACCTAGAGTTTCAACAATACAAAGGAACACATATTTATGCATTCAATACCTTTTATGAAACTGCTTTTTGAGTGTATTGGAGCTTCTGAAAAATAATCATTAAATAACTAATCATGTCCCTCTTCACAATTCCTTTATATATGTCTTCATTGACGCTTATGCCTACAAGAGTTTGCGCCTTCTTCTTGTGCTTAATTTTAGAAGAAAAACTTCACAAGGTCTTTATTCATGCCATTATTCATATAATATATGAACATTTTCACAATTTGGGAAGGATTGGAATGACCAAATCAAACATAAAGCAAGAATGAAAATGCATATTCATTTGCTACTGAGTCGGTTTAAAAAGATGGTGTTTATTACATACCATGCGATTGAGAGAACCAGTGATGGAGAAAGGTGGAGTTGGTTTGTTGATGGTCAAGGTGGGTCTGTGAAGAGTCGTGGCGATTGTTATGATGATTTTTTAATTTCAATTTTGCTCTTGTTTGGGGATGGTGCTTTCGGTTGGAGGGTGGTGTTGTGAGTGCTAACTATAAATTCAATCGAGTTTTGAATGATGTCAAACAAAGAAGGTAGTATATCGTAACGCTTTTGTATATTGGACGATATCAACCTACGTTTAGATGCTCGTTTGTCCTCTTAGCCTTAGGATGCATAAAAAGAGTCTCTAAACAAGTTTTACAAGTCTTAAGCATGTCATACACATCAAAAATCATGTTTGTGTGTCAAAATAATTGCACAGGCCGACCTATGGAAGCTTCAGTTTCAATATAGGTCAACGCATCCATATTTCAGGTCGGCTCCCACGCTCAAAGAATGAAGCTTGTAAGCTCTGCCCACAGGTCGCCTCTCATGTCGCCTCACAGGCCGGCTTGAACACCTTCATAGGTCGACCTATGCAATTTAAAACTTGAAAAGTTCTTTTTGCATCTTATTTTTCTTACATCCTCTTGCTCATTTTTTACCGAGTGAAAGCCTTGAGACAAGGTTGTTTTCTTGTAATAGAGTAGTGCGAGACGGTGAATTGTGTTCGAGAATCTTGGGTTTCAACAAGTTGCATGCTTGGGATAATCGAAGGATTATAGCCGAATTGTTTGTCACTTGATCAAGCTTTGAACAAGGGTTTGAGGTGGAAGAATCAACACAAAACAATAGGGTTTTTGAGGTTTGTATTCTTCATCTCTTGTATAAACAATTTTGCAAGTAAGTGTCAATAGCAATATCTTAATTTGATTTTGAATTGAGGGAAGGTGTATCCATAGTGAGGCCGATTGGGGAACTTCCTAAACAAATCTTGATCTCTCTCTCTTTATCTTTTTATCACTTTTATTGTTGATTTTGCAATTTATCGAGTTTATCGTTATTTGATCAATTCGATTAGAAATTGTTTTCTATTATCTTTTAAAAGTGTTGTTTTTGATATAATCATAATAACTTTAATTGTGATCGGATTTTAACATCAACAAAATAAACTAAATTTTCAATTGATATCGATTGCACACCAAGTGTTTGATAAACTATTTGTGCGTATTTTAATTATGTTTTAGTTCATTGGATATACGAGTTGTGATTAGCATTGCATTTAATTGATTTGTAGTCTGATCGTTGTTGAATATTTACGTTCATTATCTCTCTGTTTGGTTTACGATATGTATATTGTTTTTCGATACGTATATTGCTTTTCAATAGTTGGTTTGGCTAGACGGTTCGATCTAGGTCATTTTTCCGCTGCACCATATTTTGAAAACAAATTTTTGCCAAAAATTTTTTGTTGTAAAATTTGTGATCTATATCCCCCCTCCCCTTCTCCTCTAGATCAAAGCCTATCGTCTAACAGGTGTTGGTGTATATAAGTTGGTAGTTGGTAGTGGAGGGGTAGTGAGCGAGCGGGGTTGGTGGTGATTATGATTTAATTTTTATATACTGCAATTTTTTAGAAAAATAATTCACTGCGGTCAATACTTTAACGCATTCACGCAGACAACGTACTAGCGGCGATTTGATCTTATTTGTATGGCTCACAAAAAATATATTTAATTTTTATATTATAATAAAAATACTAGTTTTAAATCTAAGATCTTAATCAGAAGAATATAAATGTTTGACTATGTAACAACAGGAACTGGTTGCAATCCTTTTTTTATAGGTGGGTAGTGAATATCGAAAAGTGTGTCGGCTATGACATCAATAAACAATTGTTGTCTACTCTTATAGCTTATTATGCACTTAAGATCTGAATCTTCAAAAAATCAAATGGCTAAAAATATTGCACGCTACAACATTCGTAGAAGATCTAAACATTTTTTATTCGTAAAACATCATTATCCATCAAATTCATCTGAATTCTTTAAATAGTCTTCATTTAATTTTGGATTAAATATACAACACCCCCTACAATGTAGACAAGTTTCGCTTTACCCGTATAACATTTTTTTTGGATTCCCCCTGTAATATATATTTTTTTGTTTTACCCTCCTAAGCGTGCAGTTTGAGCACTGAATCTGGGGGGGGGGGGGGGGGGGGGGGGGGGGGTAAACCAAAAAAATTGACGCTTAGGGGGCAAAAGTTTTTTTTTAAAGGGGTAAATCGAAACTCGCCTATATTGCATGGGGTATTGTATATTTGACCATTTAATTTTTTATATTTATTTAAAGCACTCATATTTCCACTTAGAATATTTATATCAATGTCACCCAATTTGGTAGTATAAATAAATTTCATTCAATATGTTATTTTATTTCATATTTTTCAATTATTTAAACAATTAAAATTTATTTTTTAAATATTCATATCACTCATTCAAAACTTTAAATTGGATCTCATTAAGCCTACAATATACTCTAATTCAATATATGATTGGTTAAGCGAGAAAAAAATCTACCATAACTACGTGGTTGCAGAAAGCAACGATGTCTTATTAATATCAATATAATTGAATTTAAATGTTATTATTTATTGACATGGATGACTTTGAACTTTTAAGTAATTACTGATATAATTATGTTCTAAGGTTCTTTAAATGGACCCCAATATATATTTGTATATTATTTCACACTTTCCAATTATTCAATGTTAGAAATAGACATTTTGTAACACCGTATTACAACGGACTTCCAGTTAATTGTGGTAATAACTCTTTTTTAGTATTTATTTTTTGCTATTTACTTAAGAACATTTGACTATAGTCATAGTTAACAACTATGGTGAAATGTACTTAGAGTATAAGGGTTTGAATCTCAACACCAACAATTTTTTATTTTTTCCTTACAAAAGGGTTTGTCTTTATATATCATCATG